AGGAGAGCAGGGGTGACAGTAATGACTCGCACTCTGGGTCCCCTCACTTTACTGGCATCACTCTTTGAGGGAGAAGTGCATCTTATCACCAATCATCTTGCGCTCAGGGTTGAGGCGCTTGAGGATCTGCGCCAGCACGTTCACTGTCTGCTCGCTGCTCAGCCCCGTCTTCTTGGTCTGGAACTTCTTCAGCAGGTCCTTTGTGGTCATGGGCTTGCGGGTCAGGTAGCGGCGCACAGCGTCCTCTGTCACCTGGATGTCACTGTGGGAGGGGAAGGGAGGGACAGAGGCTGGAGTCATATAAGAGTCCCTTAGTCCAATCCTACCTATGGTCCTGCTTCAGTCTGAACGTACCCGCTGCTGGGTGTGGACTTCCCAGAGAGGCTCTGGGGACCCGTGTCCATCCGAAGACGCTTGGCTGCTGGAGTCTCACTTGTCCGCTTCCCTGGTGGAGACAGTAATGTCAGGTCCGGATGGGGCCCAGACTGGGGACACCAGGTGTGCAGAAGGATGTGGCTGTTGGCAGCTCTGTTTCTTCTCCAGAGACAGGCTTTTCTGGGCACTCACCCTGCTCCAGCTTGCTGGCTGCGGCCCGCAGAGTAGAAGAAGTGCTTGCTGCTTCTGTACTGGGAGTTCCTGGCCGACTGGTGCCCTTTGAACTTCCCCCTGATGGCTTCCGTTCCCTCTTGGGGGGTGTCTTCTTCTTCTGCAAAGATTGGGGTATGAGTCTGAAGGCTCAGACTGTCATTCCTCCTCATGGCCCCAGCTCTGACTTACCGCCATGAAGAGTGCAGAGGAGGTCTCACTGTCAATGTCGCTCTCTTCTGAGCTGTCTGAGTCATCACTGCTATCTGCATAGGACAGACATCGATCATAAGCAGAGACCCTAGACAGAGCCTACCCACCACCACCCATGAGCAGGTGGGTCCAAAGCAACAGGAGCACTCTGGCCATCATCACCCCCAGCCTTGCATGCCTCACCCACCTTTCCTGCGTTTCTTCTCTTGTGGGGTCGGAGCCTTCTTGTCTTCCTCCTCTTCCTTGTCCTCCTCGGGGGGCTTCTCCTCCTCGCTCTCCTCGCTGCTCTCACTCTGCTCGTCCACACCTGGGACACAGGACACAAGTCACAGGTGTGAGCAGCAACTGCTGAGCGCACTCCCACTCCCTGGCTGGTCCCCAGCTGGCACCTACCCTTGGGGCCATCCTCCTGCTGGGGCACTTTGGGCTTGCCCTCTGACTCATCTGGAGAGCTGCTGTAGGGCAGAGAAGGGCAGGCCATGAAGTTGGGTGACCACAGGCCTGCTTTGCCCCTGCGTCATCTCTGCCTTGCCCCTGCCTCACCTGGAGCCGTCGGACATGTAGTCTACCTCCTGGCCCTCAAAGTCCCCATCATCGCTGTCCTCAAAAGCCTCGTCATCTGAGCCCTTCTTCTTTTTCTTCTTCCTGCCTGCCTTGGTCACTGGGGCCTTCTTCTTAGCCTTGGAGGCTCTGCTGCCTGTGAAAGGAAGATACAGGAGGAGCTCAGACTAGATGAGCCTAGATCTTTGCTCACAGCTGGGCAGGGACTCCACCCAAGCCATTCCCCAACCCCTCTCACTGGGGATTCTAGGCGGGGCCATACCCATGAGCATCAATCCCATCTAGCCAGGAAATCCTGACACCCGATGCCACATGCATCATTATACTCAAGGAGTGACAGGAAAGACAGCAGGTCACATAGCATCTAAAGCCTTTATAAAAAGTATCTGAGCAGGGAGCTCGATAGGAACACGTAGCTGATTCATAGTCATCAGGAGAAAATGGAAAAGAAATCAAGGATTTTGTCCTGGTTATGTCAGCCTGACACAAGTTAGTCATCTGGGAAGAGAGAGCTTCAGTCGAGTAAACCCCTCCATAAGATCAGGCTGTAGGCAAGCCTGTAGGTTATTTTCTTAATGAGTGATTGATGTAGGAGGGCCCAGCCTGCTGTGGCTGGGGCCATCCCTGGACTGGTGGTCCTGGGTTCTAGAAGAAAACAGGCTGTGTAAGTCATGAGGAGCAAGTCAGCAAGCCACACCCTCCATGGTCTCTGCATCAGTTCTCGCCCCCAGATTCCTGCCCTGTTTGAATTCTTGCCCTGGCTTCCTTCAGTGATGGACTAAGACGCAGAAGTGGAAGCCAAATGAACCCTTTCCTCCCCACCTTGCTTTGCTCATGGTGTCTCATCCCAACAATGGTAACCCTGACTAAGACAGATCTGTAATCATTCCAAAAGTCATCGTGGTGATGGATGCTTAATTCTACAGAGAAAACACACATGGAATTACTTCTGATAGAAGCCTTGATTTGTAGTCCAGGCTTGCCCTGAATTAACTGTCCTCCTGCATCAGCTTCTTGAGTGCTGGGGTCACAGGCCTGTGCCCCCATTAGCCAGATTTCTGAGGATTCTTACAAGTTGCTGAATTGCAGTATAAATAGTACATAAATATAAGTTGCACCTCAGTCAAGGGAGGGGCAGAGGTAGAGGAGAGAGAGAGCAACCTAGGCCAGTGGCTCTCAACCTTCCTAACCTGTGACCCTTTAACACAGTTCTTCAGCCGGGCAGTGGTGGCGCACACCTTTAATCCCAGCACTTGGGAGGCAGAGGCAGGCGGATTTCTGAGTTCGAGGCCAGCCTGGTCTACAGAGTGAGTTCCAGGACAGCCAGGGCTACACAGAGAAACCTTGTCTGGGAAAAAAACAAAAACAAAAAAAACAGCTTTTCATGTTGTGGTGACCCCCTAACCATAAAGTTATTTTTGGTATTATTTGTAACTGTATTTTTGCTACTGTTATGAACTGTAATGATGCGACCCGTTACCCAAAAGGGATTCGAGGCGTGAGTTCCACTCCTGACCACACTCCCAACCTCTATGAGTGCTGTTGTGTTGTGGGGGGGTTGGAGATTCTTTGTTTGCTTTTGTTTCTTATAGACAGGGTTTCTCTGTCTATATGTGGCTTTCCTGGAACTTGCTCTGTAGACTACCTTGAATCCACCACTTTCTGCCTCTCGAGTGCTGGAATTAAAGATGTGTGCTACCACCATCTGGCTTAGCCATTCATTTTTTAAAGATAGGGTCAGAACTCTCTTGCATCAGACCCCTGAGTTCTGGGGTCACAGCAAGCACACCATGTCTTTTTATGTTATATCTTGGCAGGGAGACTGCACCCCAGGTTGAGCCAATTCTTAGAGAAAGTAGAAGTTTATCCCTCTTGTGCAACAAGTACCTCAGCCCACTGTCCTCACCCCACACCCCTAGTACTGCCATTCAGTCATCAAAACAAGCTGTACCTATGATCAGCCAGGCCCATGTGACCTGCAGCACAGCACCCTGGGAACATTTAAACAGACTGCTCCCATGGAAATCCTGTAAAGGCGCCATTCATCCTGAGTAACCTTGTGTCATGAGCTTCCCAGGTATTGTTAACTCATCTTGTCTCTGACCTAAGACCTCTGGGTCCCCACTCACCCTCTTCACCACTGGCATCGCTGGCATCAGAGGACATTTCCAGGTCATCCTCCAGGTCATGAATGCGCAGCTCACTAGGCTTCTTGCGACTGCGCTTCTCCTTCTCCTCCTCATCTTCATCCTGGTCCTGGTCCTTGAGCCGCCGCTGCTGCATGATGCTGAAGTGGTTCAGGACCTTGTTCCTCCTGCATATGGGGACAAGTGACTAAGTACTTTGTGTGGCAGAGGGTGGTGGGTAGTAGGGGGCTGCAAAGAGCTGCTTGGGCAAGGAGGACAGTGGAAGATAATGACTGGGACACTCAAATGGGCATCCCTCCTTTACAGGGACAAATGGGCATAACAGGATAACCTCATTAAGGTATGCACACTGTAAGGAGGCTAAGGCAAAAAGATCCTGCAGGGTTGTTAGCCTGCGCCACACCACATGCAACAGAAAGAGAAAGGGGCAGGGCATGCAGTCTGGGCCATTTCAGACCCCCAAATCTTGAAACAACATAGAGTGAGCCCTGAGATGGCCTTAGGCCCATTGACATTTGAGCCCCCTGGAAACCCCACATCTTAGCTCCTGCAGACTTAGGGCCTGTTCCATGCATATCCAGCCATCATATTGGTTAGCTAAATAATTTTATGTGGGTTTGGGGGGGTTTAGGAGGGGTTGGTTGGTTGGTTTTTGTTTTATTTTTTTGTGAGCTAAGATCTCTCTCTATTGTCCTAGCTGTCTTGGAAGTCACTATGAAGAGCAGGCTGGCCCTGAACTCAAGAGAAATCCTCATGCCACTGTATCCTAGAGTGCTGGGGTTAAAGGTGTGCACCACCAGGCTTGGCCCAATAAAAATTCCTTTTAAAACAGGATCTCACTGTGTGATCTTAACTGGCCTGGAACTTGGAATATACATCAACCCCCAAACTCAGAGATCCTGTTGCCTGTGCACCAAAGTAATGAGATTAAAGGCCTGTACCACTGTGTCTGGCAAGTTTTGGGGTGTTTTGAAACCAAATCTTGTATAACCGCAGCTGGCCTCAAACTTAATACAGGAGAAGATGGACTTGAACTCTTGCTTTTGCCATCTGTGTGCTAAGGTGACAGGTGTGCACATGCAGTACCCTCATGCCCCGTCCAGCAGGGCATTAAACAGGGGTCCGGGGAGGTCACCTGAAAGAGAGGATGGGGGGACACAGGCGAACGCAAGGAACAGTGGCTTGTCTATAGTCTGATCAAATCGCTGATTATGATTTTTTCACACAGGGTTATATACACAAAAAGGCAGGACATGGGGAAGGGGATGACTCAGGAGCGTAGGTGTTCAGGGGGAGCACAGATATCTTCCAGAACAGGGTAACGGCTGGGTGAAGGTTCAGGGGACAGGTCACTATGACCCCGCCTATGATTCACTTGACCTTATCTAAGTTGGTACTATCCACCAAGGCTACCCAAGGTCTATGACTATCCACAAGACCCATGACTACTTGTTCTCATCCAGGCTGGTGAATTTC